GCTTCAAGTCGTCTAATGTACTGGTAACAAGTTCAAGTTTTTCTTCAATGTTAGACACAAATTCTTGGGTTGGAGTATGAGCCATTTCGTTTAGTTTAGCTCTAGATCTTGTCTGAATAATATGAGGCAAATCAGAGGCCATACACTAAGTATATATCAAAATTAATAAAATAGTTTGTACCTTAGATAATCTTGTGTCTTGGCGTCGTGTGTCGAGTGGATTCTCCACCATGTAAACAATGCGGGTTTCGTCTATCAGGGGTTGTTAAGGGTGGATGGTTCGTCAGGTTGAATATACGGGAAGTGGTTGTAACGGGGAATGGGTAACTCGCAAGGCAGTGAGTGGTACACTAGGATCGCTCGACACTTATACGCACCATTCAATCATTAAGACATCAGCAGTATAGTACAGCCAGATATTTATTACCACTACAATCGTCACCATACGCCCCGGTCCTCTTCTCCCTTAATACGCTGGAACCCCCCATTTTTATAAACGACAGTGTTAATCGTTCAACCAATAGTCTAAATACTTTGCATGCGTTGTCATGACGGCATGTGGACTCCGCCAGTGAGGGCGTCGCCCCATAGCATCGTCATGACAACATCAATGCAACTTGGTGACACGTTCCAAATCAATGACGCATTTTTTTTCAAAAATAAGTATTATTTTCCCGAGCCCGGCGTGGTGAACGAATATTTTTTTTGGATAATTTTTCGTTGTTTGCAAGATGGTTACAGTGTTTAACCCCAAAACAAAATCATTTTTTCTGAGTTGGTCCTCGAGTACAAGCTCATCCCTTAATTTTCCCTTACGTGTTCATGCCTACGGGCTTATGATCAGGGAAGTACGGTATACTGTGACGATTCAGATCAGTCCAGTGTGAGTGATGAGAGTATATCGTCGACGATGCCCCTTGTTCGGATGAAAGTTTTATTTCAAATTACACGGAAGTCTGTGAACAATCTGCTTGGTGTTCCTGTGACACTTGTCCCATGATTTGCCAGTGCAGCCCCGTGAATACATGGACGAAAATGTTTCCACCACCACCCTACGAACTCAAGATTGCATACTCCAGCACCCATACTTTGAATAATTTGCACGCCGCACAGTGCAGTACTGGAAACAGCATTTATTAGACAGTTAGACAAAAAACAAAACAAAATGCCTGTCTCGATCAATCGCACATCCATAATGTTTGTATGTTGATATGCTTGTAAATAACATTAACGTCAAAGTCGAAACAACCTAGAATAGAAGTCAATTCACCAGTCCAGCCACCTATGGCTCCCTAAGTTACTTATATTTAATCAGATACTATTTCGTCATCATGCTTTGTTACCTTACCTGTTTATAATACTACCCTTAGTGACCACCTTCCCTTACTGACCACCTTCCCTTAATAACCACCTACCCTTAGTGACCACCTACCCTTAGTGACCACCTTCCCTTAGTGACCACCTTCCCTTAGTGACCACCTTCCCTTAGTGACCACCTTCCCCTAGTGACCACCTATCCTTAGTGACCACCTACCCTCAGTGACCATCTACCCTTAGTGACAACCTACCCACAGTGACCACCTACCCTTAGTGATCACCTACTCTTAGTGACCACCTACCCTTAGTGACAACCTTCCCTTACTGACCACCTTCCCTTAGTAACCACCTACCCTTAGTGACCACCTACTCTCAGTGACCACCTACCTTTAGTGACCACCTACTCTTAGTGACCACCTACCTTTAGTGACAACCTTCCCTTACTGACCACCTTCCCTTAGTAACCACCTACCCTTAGTGACCACCTTCCCTTAGTGACCACCTTCCCTTAGTGACCACCTTCCCTTCGTGACCACCTTCCCTTCGTGACCACCTTCCCTTAGTGACCACCTACCCTTAGTGACCACTTCCTTAGTGACCACCTACCCTCAGTGACCATCTACCCTTAGTGACCACCTACTCTTAGTAACCACCTACCCTTAGTGACCACCTTCCCTTAGTGACCACCTTCCCTTACTAACCACCTTCCCTTAGTGACCAGCTTCCCTTAGTGACCACCTTCCCTTAGTGACCACCTATCCTTTGTGACCACCTACCCTCAGTGACCATCTACCCTTAGTGACCACCTACTCTTAGTGACCACCTACCCTTAGTGACCACCTACCCTTTATGACCACATACCCTTTATGACCACCTACCTTAGTGAACACCTATCCTAAGTGACCACCTATCCTAAGTGACCACCTATCCTTAGTGACCTATACCCTTAGTGACCACCTTCCCTTAGTGACCACCCTCCCTTAGTGACCACCTTCCCTTAGTGACCACCTTCCCTTAGTGACCACCTATCCTTAGTGACCACCTACCCTCAGTGACCACCTACCCTTAGTGACCACCTACCCTTAGTGACAACCTTCCCTTACTGACCACCTACCCTTAGTGACCACCTACTCTTAGTGACCACCTACCCTTAGTGACCACCTACCCTTAGTGACCACCTTCCCTTACTAACCACCTTCCCTTAGTGACCAGCTTCCCTTAGTGACCACCTTCCCTTAGTGACCACCTTCCCTTAGTGACCACCTTCCCTTAGTGACCACCTATCCTTTGTGACCACCTACCTCAGTGACCATCTACCCTTAGTGACCACCTACTCTTAGTGACCACCTACCCTTAGTGACCACCTACCCTTTATGACCACATACCCTTTATGACCACCTACCTTAGTGAACACCTATCCTAAGTGACCACCTATCCTAAGTGACCACCTATCCTTAGTGACCTATACCCTTAGTGACCACTTTTCCTTAGTGACCACCCTCCCTTAGTGACCACCTTCCCTTAGTGACCACCTTTCCTTAGTGACCACCCTCCCTTAGTGACCACCTTCCCTTAGTGACCACCTTTCCTTAGTGACCACCTATCCTTAGTGACCACCTACCCTCAGTGACCACCTACCCTTAGTGACCACCTACCCTTAGTGACAACCTTCCCTTACTGACCACCTACCCTTAGTGACCACCTACTCTTAGTGACCACCTACCCTTAGTGACCACCTACCCTTAGTGACCACCTTCCCTTAGTGACCACCTTCCCTTAGTGACCACCTTCCCTTAGTGACCACCTATCCTTAGTGACCACCTACCCTCAGTGACCACCTATCCTTAGTGACCACCTACCCTCAGTGACTACCTATCTTTAGTGACCACCTACCCTCAGTGACCATCTACCCTTAGTGACCACCTACTCTTAGTGACCACCTACCCTTAGTGACCACCTATCCTTAGTGACCACCTACCCTCAGTGACCACCTAAGCTTAGTGACCACCTACCCTCAGTGACCACCTATCTTTTGTGACCACCTACCCTCAGTGACAATCTACCCTTCGTGACCTCCTTCCCTTAGTGACCACCTTCCCTTAGAAACCACCTTCCCTTAATGACCACCTTCTCTTAGTGACCACCTTCCCTTAGTGACCACCTATCCTAAGTGACCACCTATCCTAAGTGACCACCTATCCTAAGTGACCACCTATCCTTAGTGACCTATAACCTTAGTGACCAGCTACCCTTAGTGACCAGCTACCCTTAGTGACCACCTATCCTTAGTGACCACCTTACCTTAGTGACCACCTTACCTTAGTGACCACCTGTCCTTAGTGACCACCTATCCTTAGTGACCAGCTACCCTTAGTGACCAGCTACCCTTAGTGACCACCTACCCTTAGTGACCACCTTACCTTAGTGACCAGCTACCCTTAGTGACCAGCTACCCTTAGTGACCAGCTACCCTTAGTGACCAGCTACCCTTAGTGACCACCTACTCTTAGTGACCACCTACCCTTAGTGACCACCTTCCCTTACTGACCACCTTCCCTTAATAACCACCTACCCTTAGTGACCACCTTCCCTTAATAACCACCTACCCTTAGTGACCACCTTTCCTTACTGACCACCTATCCTTAGTGACCTATACCCTTAGTGACCAGCTTCCCTTAGTGACCAGCTACCCTTAGTGACCAGCTACCCTTAGTGACCACCTACTCTTAGTGACCACCT